GAGAAATGCTTTCAACGATGAGACCTATTTCCGTTATTTCATTTACTAATCTTTTGATATAAACACGTTGTTATGATCGTCATTGATTCTTTCCGGAAAAAAAAAATCGCCATTTTATCATCAGTCTTTATTAATGGTCAAGGAGACATTATTTTAACAGATCGCGATATCTATCAGAGATATGAAATTTAAATTTTTATTATTGCATTATTTCAAAATTTTAACACATCAGCAGATAGCTATTAATGTCAACAACTGAGCACAAATAGTTATTAATTAAAAAAATAGTAATTAATGTATAATTTTAAATTTGTTAATAGAAAATAAAAGTAATTCATATTACTAAAATCATAGAAACAAATTAAAAATCAGAAAAGTCAGATCGGTAGTAGTGGAGAAATCTGAATCAGATAAGATATCTTCAGATACATCTTCGTTTTTTATGTCCTCATAATATAAATTAACCTTTTGATAGCTTTTTTTTGCATAAAATGGTTAATTGTTACACTAAGTGCTCCTTTTAAACAATAATAATACCGAATAATATTCTAAAAACATTAAAGTATATTTAATGCCATCTTCCTAATAGCTGTGGCAATCTGTAAATGCAATGTCAAACGTTATCTACTGTCGTGATTACTTTTCTATTCCTTTCGCTCACAAATGTTTCTGTTTTGACTTGTTCTTCCACACCCTGTAACTCCTTGCGTCTTAGTGGCTTTATAGCCTTGCATTCGGCGATATGATTTAAAAAGTCTTATTTTATTGTTTGAGATAATAATGATTTAGTGATGCAAGTCTTACTAATTAATCCATATTTGGGGGAGATGAGGTGGATTCATAGCTTTCCCAAGGGCATGTGCGAGTAAGTGAATATGAAGAACTCGCCTGAAATTCGAACACGGCTCTCAGATCTCTCATTCACATTGTACAACATTCAGAGAAAAAATATTTTAACAGACCGCGGCATCTATCAGAGAGATAAAATTTAAATTTTTATTATTTCATTATTCCAAAATTTTAACATATCAGGAAGATAGCTATTAATGTCAACAATTGAGCACAAATAGTTATTAATTAAAAAATTAATAATTAATGTACAATATTATTCATAACTGTATTTACAAGAATGTGGTTTTTGATAAAAGTTAAAAAATAACCATAAATACATAAAAAATGCATATATTGTTGAAAATTCCTTTTTATACAATATAGCTATTTGTGCTATGTTATAATGCTTATTACCTAAACAATAATAATACTAAAATTAAAGTATATTTAATTACATCTTCCTAATAGCTGTCATGATCTGTTGATAAAACAAAGTTTTATCATCAAAAATCTGTATACTATTAAAAAAGGAAAATTAAAAAATTTTTTTATTATTAATTATTTTATGATTATTTATTATTAAATATAGAGACCCAGTGATAAAAGTCTAGAAATGTCAATTTTTATGTATTTTTTATCTGCCATTATTTTTTATTGTTATGAACGTTATTTTTAGTGATTACACCTATTTACAGCTCGCAACATCTATCAGAAATGAAATTTAAATTTTTATTATTTCATTATTCCAAAATTTTAATAAATCAGCAGATAGCTATTAATGTCAACAACTAAATAGTTATTAATTAAAAAAATATTAGTAATTAATATATATTTTCCATAACTACATATACAAGAATGTCGTTTTTGATAAAAGTTAAAAAAAATATCCATAAATACGTAAAAATGCGTATATTGTCGAAAATTTCTTTTTATACAATATAGCTATTTGTGCTATATTACAATGCTTATTAACTAAACAGTAATAATACTGAATGTTTTTTTAAACATTAAAGTATATTTAATCAGATCTCCCTAATAGCTGTTAAATAATGACAAAAAATAAATGGTAATGAATAGTCTATCATGGATTTATACATTCTTCTATGTGCCGTGTTCCTTCAGGTGTTGCTGATAATTCTTTCTTTCGGGAAAAAAAAGCGCCATTTTATCATCGGTCTTTAGTAATGGCCAAGGAGAAATTAATTTAACATATCGCGGTATCTACCAGAGAGAGATGAAATTTAAATTTTTATTATTGCATCATTCCAAAATTTTAACACATCAGCAGAGAGTTATTAATGTCAACAACTGAGCACAAATAGTTATTACTTAAAAAAAATTAATAATTAATGTACAGCATTATTCATAGCTATATGTACCTATAACAATGTGGTTTTCGATAAAAGTTAAAAAAAAATAAGCATAAATACGTAAAAAAATGTGTATATTGTCGAAAATTCCTTTTTATACAATATAGCTATTTGTACTATGTTATAATGCTTATTAACTAAACAATAATAATGCTGAATATTTTTTAAACATTAAAGTATATTTTATCACATCTCCCTAATGGCTGTCGGGTATGTTAATAAAATCATCAAAATTTCTATGCTATTCTTAAGAGGAAATACCAAAGGTTTTTATTATTATTAGTCATTTTATTATTATT